AGAGGCATGGGAGAAGGCTGAGTGCTGCTTCAACCAGGCGGGCGCGGTGCTCAGGGTCAAGAAGTCGATGTGGTCATCGGCTCGCGCAAAAGAGGAACGGCGATGATGACGATGGTGATGACGATGGTGATGGTGATGGTGGTGATGGCGATGGGAGCGCTGATGATGGTGATGATGCCGATGGTGAGGATGCGATGGTGATGATGTCAACTGATGGTGATGGTGACGACGATGGTGATCCTAATGATGGCGATGGTGATGATGATGATGATGATGATGCTGATGATGATGATGACGGTGATGATGATGGCGATGCTGATCGTGATGACGATGGTGGTGATGATGATGGTGTTGGTGATGGTGCTGATGGTAATGGTACTGATGGTGGTGATGATGGCGATTGTGGCGATGATGACGAGGATGGTGATGCTGATGGTGATGATGCTGAGACGACGGCGACGACTACGACGACGACGGCGACGACGGCGCATCGTTGATCCCACCAGCGTGAATGAATATGATGATGACGGGGGATTTCGATACCCCCGTCCCCCTCCTTCCTCCTTATCCTCCTCGACCCCTGTTGTTATTCCTGTTCCTACTCTTGCTCGCGCTGCCGACCCCCCCTGCGCAGCCAGGTCTGCCAGCGAGACGGAGGGCACATGGTGCAGCAGAGAGCAGTTGGACGACGAGTTCAAATCGACCGAGCAGGGCGCCAACTACGAGAACTGGGCCAAGACCAACGGCCTTGCGCGCTGGGACCCGAAGCGACGGTGCAGAGTGGTGTACATGGAGAAGAAGTTCGAGCGCCACGGTACGAGTACACTGGGCGCAACCGCCGCCACCGCCGACGACGACGCCGACGATGCCGACGACGTCGACGACGACGACGACGACGGAGGTGGCGACGACAACGACGACGACGACGAGTTTGCCCTGTCGTCATCCTTCTCCCCCTGAAACGTGGTTTGAGCTTTCAACTCGCAGAAACGTTCCAAACTGACCATGGGCCACATGGCCCATGGTCCGTTTGGAACGCCTCTGCCGCAATGCATAGAACGCTCCTGCCAGGCACGGAGGAACGCGGTTAGCACGCCCTGAGCATCCTCCTCCCCATCCTCCCCTCTCTCCTCGTAATCGCGTTCAGCTCTCCCAGGAAGCAAGCCGACTGGGAGGCCGAGGTGAACGTGGACGCGGGGGCGCAGAACGAGGCGGAGCAGGACGCCGGGGACGACGAGGGCTCCGATGGCGACGGCATGTCGGAGAGCGACTCGAGCTCGGCGAAGGCGAAAGAGAGCAAGAAGGGCAAGAAGGTCAAGAAACATAAAGGCAAGCAGGACGACTCCTCCGAGAGCTCCGACAAGACGACCAAGAAGGGCAAGAAGGACAAGTCTACTGGCAAGAGCAGTTCTAAGAAGAAGAAGGACAAGGATGCCGCCAAGCACAAGCAATCTAAGAAGAAAAGGAAGAAGGATGCCGCCAAGGACAGAAAGATCGCCAAGGGCAGCAAGGACAAGACCTCAACCAAGAACAAGCAGGGCAAGAAGGACGACTCCAGCGACTCAGACAGCAGCTCGCAGGTGCATGGCAAGAAGAACAGGAAGGAGAAGAAGCCATCGCCTAACCAGCTCGTGCCGAAAGCACCGCCGAGGCCGAAGTTGAAGGGCAAGGGCAAGGGCGTGCCGACGCCCGTCAAGAAGACGCAGCCAGCGAAGGTATCGTCCAGCTCGAGTTCCAGCGAGTCGGAATGAGCACGGCGTCGGTGCATACGGCGTGCGGGTACGGCACCAACGATTGGGCAGGCGACGGCGGAGAGCGGTCGTACTGGTGCTCGCGGCCTGCCCTCCTCCTCCTGGGCACCCCCCCGTCCTCCCCATTATCTCGTCCGCATGATGCCCATCTCCCAATAGACGCCATGGCCATCGCCATCAGCAGATCACGTGTGGGTAGCTGGCGATGCTATCTAAGCTGGAGCAGATCAGCGCCCTTCTCCCACTCCTTGCCTCTGCCGTCCGCATCTCTCTGTTTCGGCACACCCATCACAACGTTTCGTGACCCCACAGGGGGCCCCACCGAAGGCGCCAGGAGCAAAGTTCGCATGGCGGCCTCGGGCCATTTCGGCACACCCCTCACGAAGATCGTTGCCCCTATCGGAGCTCCACCGAAGGCGCCAGTGTTAAAGATCACGTTCGCTTCGTTTTCGATCACCCCGTCCGCCCCCTCGGCCCCTTGCACCGAAAAGGAGAGGAGAGGGAGATGAGCGAGGACATGAGAACAGGATAGCAGAGGAACGGAGAGGAGGAGGAAGAGGAGGAGGAGGAGGAGGGGTAGCTTGCATCCGCTCAGCCCTATGCGACATGAGATAGACATGCCCAACGTGAAATACACATGCCCTGCATGGGCATAGCTTGCCCCCGTGGCGCGCCAGTGCGACGGCCACCATTCTCCCCCATCGAATGGCTCGCCGCGCGGCCCGTCTGGACGCCGCCCCCCTCTCAGTTTCTAGCCTGACCTTTAACATCGTATTGTCGCGAACTGTGGTACATCGTGATACTTCGGTGTGATACTACGCCCGCTTCCTAATATTGGAACATGGGTGTGACAACACTAAGGTGCTTACTCCTGTGGCCAAATCAACGCCCTAGATCATGACCGAATGCGGTGCCGCCCCCCACTATCCCACTAACACAATTCATAAGGCGGTGCTTCGACTCGTACTCGTAACCATTTTCAGCGCGCATGTGTTCCCACGCTACTCGCACCATGCTTCAGACGCCTACTCGCACGCGCGCAGAAATGCAGATTCCCGAACGTGAGGGTCTCGGGTCGACGGCCCCAGGTCTTTGGGGCGTTGGATCCAGGTTCCTAGGTCTAGAGTCTGGGGTCCAGAGTGTAGGGTGTATGATGTGGTGTGTGGGATGTGAGGCATATAGGGTGTCCAGCTTAATTGGGGATGCAGGCTGCAGCGTCTGGGGGGGGGGGGGCATATGATGCAAGGTGTAGGGTGTAGAGCCAAAGGTCGAGAGGCAGGGTCTAAGGAGTAGGGCTGTGGTTATCGGGCGTAGGGTGTAGAGCGTGGGGTGTGGGGAACAGAATCCACGGCCCAGGGTCGAGTACGGTTGACATTGCAGGGTGGGCGTTTGGTGTGGGGAGGGGGGGTTATAAGGTGTAGGGTTTGGGTGCATAGATGCAGCGCAACGTCGACGGTATAAGGGTATGGGGTCTAAGGTCTAAGGTGTAAGATGCAGGGTAAGGTCTAAGGTACAAGGTCCAAAGTGTAAGGTCGAATGTCTACTGTCTGAGGCGTGCGCTCTCATGTTTCAGGTCCACGGTGCACGGTCTCAGGTGTAAGGTTCAATGTGTGAGGTTTAAGGTGTGAGGTCTAAGGCG